GTTTAAAAATGCTCATTGGAATACAGATATAATCTACAACTTTTTGAAACAGTAGAGGCAGCCTGGCGTGTTCAGTAATTATGACATCGTTTCTTGATTTAAGATCAGGGGGAACAAGTCAAACAAATATTCCCCCAAATCCCCCTGTCTTAATAAAAATCTGTCTTCTTTCTCTTATACTTACTCTACTGGGAAGAAACCATCAGTTACAGTTAAAGGTAGATTTAGACTGATATATTTGTGTCATTTTTTGTTGTTTACTCTGAGAAACACTTCCCTGTTTACATAACTGAAGGTTGATCTTTCAGGTTAAACAGCTCCTTGAATCACAACACCTGCATTACACACTAAATACGAACAATAATCTTCATAAAACAAATCTAAATTTGACCCTAAAATAACTTCATTTTGATAAAACTTCTTTTTTTTTATTGATGGGGGAAAAGGCTGTACCTTGGCTCCAGCAAGCAAAAAAAAAAAACCTATATATATTAGGGGTACAATGATACAGAAAAATCACGACACATATTGAACCTAGAGCACTGTATTTAATGATTCCATACAGATACATGTATTGTTGCACCCACAGTATATATATTTTAATTTTATTTAAACTACTGTTACATAAAACAACAGAGAACAAGAACATACTTTGAATTAAAGAGACATTTTCAGCAACAAGATGATTTTAATTCCATTATAAAACCTTCAGCGTAAATTGAATTTTCCAGGTCATCATCGACGAGTTGATCAAAAAGTTGGACGTGAATCTGAACGAGGACATCGGGAACTTGTCCCCGGAGGAGCTGAGGCAGAGGGTGGACGCTGCCATCGCTCAGATAGTGAACCCGGCCCGAGTCAAAGAACAGCTGGTGGAGCAGCTGAAAACCCAGATCAGGGACCTGGAGATGTTTATCAACTTTATCCAGGGTATGACGTCTCATGAAATGCTTTACTGCAGTGTTTCTTTTATGCTTAACTGCATATTTAAATGAAACCTTTGCCTTTTCTTTCAAAAGATGAGGTGGGAAACCCTCTGTTGTCAGATGGTGCACAGAGTCAGCAGCCCAAAGCAGCAGGGACCAACAGCAGAGCTTCAGGAACGAAAAAGAAAGGCAAGTATTTTGATGCTTTTCTTACAACAAATCTTCTTTGAAGAGGTTTACATCCCAAACCTCTCTCTCTCTCTCCTACCCTGCAGTGGATCCGGAGCAGGCCCAGAGGATGCGTGAATCCGGCCTTCAGCTCATCCAGAAGGCCCTCGCCGTGTTGCAGATCTTCGCTGCGAGTCAGTTCGGTTGCTCCGCGGGCCACATCCCACAGAACGTGTGGCCTCAGGACGGCCCCGGGCAGGACTACGGGCCTCTGCTGCAGCGTCTGGAGGRAGCCGTGGAGAAYGTGCGGGTGCTGGGCTCACGCAGACACCCGTCAGTCGAACACGTGGTCAGCTACACCAGCACCTCCACGCTCGGCGCCAGGGACGAGCTGACAACAGCGGTGAGGAAGGAGCTGGCCATCGCTTTGAAGGACTTGCTGTCCCACGGTCTCTTCTCACCTTCCCAGACCATGAGTCTGGTGCTGGCCCCCATCTCCTGCCTCCTGCCTTACAGGCCGGCCACACAAGTCATGCACCCGTGGGAACTTTTTGTGAAGTACTACCATTCCAAGAACGGGAGAGCCTTTGTGGAGTCGCCGGCTCGTCAGCTCTCGCAGTCCTTCAGCCTGAACGTGGGCGGCGCACCGGGGAAAGTAACTCCGAAGCAGTCTCTGCTGTGGGCCGTTCACATGGTCCTGAAGGAGCACGGGCGCTACAAGAGAGGACCGGACACCGAGTTRAAAGCTTTGGTGTGCATGGCTCTGAACGAGCAGCGGCTCGTGTCCTGGCTCAACCTGCTGTGTAAATCCAGGACTCGTCCACCCGCACTACCAGTCTAGGAACTACATGGCCCAGACCGGCTTCGAGGGAGCGCTTTGCATCCTGG